AAATGGAAAGTTGCAAAGAAATACTGGACTGCAATGTGGCCAGAAACATGGCACTGGACAGCCCTCCTTTACTTGGAAGGGAATATTATGGGAAAACTGAGAGCAATGATTTTTTTTTTTTTTTTGCCAGTTTGTGGGGCTTGTACTCAGGGCCTGGGTGCTGTCCAGCCCTATTTGCTTAAGGCTAGCGCTCTATCACTTTGAACCACAGTTTTCTGGTGATTAATTTAAGAGTCTCACAGACTTTCCTGCCCAGGCTGGCTTTGAATCTCCAATCTCAGCCTCCTGAGTAGCTAGGATTACAGGTGTGAGCCACTAGCACCCAGTAGCACTGGTTTTTTACCTTTGGAAATTCCCTAAATGCTTGAGACAAGCTAATTATGCCGATGTGCCACAGGACCACTGCTGGGACAGAACGATTTAAAGCTACTCTGCACGCTGGCATGGAGAAACTGAAAGCATCTCCTAACTTCTCCTTGGTGTCTTTATTCTTGACAACAGTCAAACTCTGGTGACCCAAAAAGGTCTCAGCCTCATTTCTCCTGAGGGTCCCTGGGACAGTACAAAAACCATACTGAAAAGTGCCTTTTTTTAAAAAAAAATTCATTTCAGTCCCCCATCTATGAGGCCTATAATAAAAAGTGTCATTAAACAAACTGGGCAGTGTCATGGGAGTTTTTCCTAAAAAAATATGCTCCCTGTAAACCTCTTCTGTGAAATCAACTCCAGAGCTCTCAAGCTACGGCCATTTCCATCTACAAGCACAGTTCAGAGTCCTGGGATTCCAGAACATTATCAGTCCTGATGGCTGTATTCTTAAACATTGATCTATCATCATCCTTCAAATTCCCTCTTCTTCCTTATCTAACTTAAATAATAAGATAACACTCCTGGGCTTTACTAAATTGGTTTAAATCTTTCGAGTGCTGTCAATTCTCATTTCTCCTGCCTTTTGAGGTCCTGACTAAAAAGGTGAAGAAATGTTCTGGAGGAAATGAAACTTCCGGGCCCCATTTCATAAATCTTTGTCTGTTACCTTCCTAGCATGCTGTGCACCCCAAAGTCTGCAACAGATGGAGGAGAAGTAAGCCAGCAGCCAGGCCAGTCCCGCACTCTTCTTTTCCGGGGCAGAGCTGTCTTGGCCACAAAATGACCACTCCCGAGTCCCTTCAGCTTTCTGCCAGAAGATTCTTCCAAGTACCCAAACGGGGCACCAGCACCACCCTCATGCAGACAGCTCGGCCCTTGCCTGCACAGCCTGCTCACTAGCAGGGTAGCAGGCTTTTCCAAAAGGCATCAACGGCACTACAAGTGTGGCTGTAGCTGTGCCATTTTCATAAACTTTACTTGGGAACAGACAAATGTGGCCCAATACACGTAGACTGGAAGCAACCTGAGCCAGCAGAACGCTGCCTTGGAAAAAGCTTCCTGTTTCAGTTCCAAACCACACATACTTGTACAGTTAACAAATGCAGTGGGGGATATTGGTCCACAGCATCCTTGTGGGGGCCAAAGGCTCTGCTGTCCTCCACCCTCTTCTCCCCCACCCCCACCTGCCTTCCTAAGGAAGAGGAGCTTACACGCAAACACTGGAAGGAAGTTAGGTAGGTGGCTGGAGGTGTGGAATGTCCACACACTCCAACAAGAAGAAATGGGAAGTATTTTCATCTGAAAGAACATTAGGAGGGGGGTTCCCTAAAAATACAATCATGTTCAAATAAACACAAAAAGGAGCCAGGCTTTCCTGTAAGGCTACTATTCAGATGGATTACTGGAAGGAATATTCTTTCTCAGTTTTATGGTTTACTTTGCTATCATCTGCTTAAAATTTGGGTCATTTAAAACATAGATGCTAAGATCTAAGCCTTCATTTGGATGAAATTTGACAGAGGAAGCAGAAAGCCTCTTCCAAGAGGCAGACTCAGAGGCAGAACTCTTGGACTCTTGGGTTCTATTCCTGGCTTGGTCCCCGGACTCAGGTCAGTCCTCGGTCAGAGTCTCACTTCTAATCCCTTCAAATCATTTGTTAGTCTCTGTTGTCTAAACAGTGGGGAAAACCCTGAGTAACACCCCTGGCTCCTATTCAATGGGCCAGAATGATTGGAGATAGTTATATCTCACTTCCAAGAAATGGAGATTTACCCTTGGGTAGAACCCCACATGCTCCTAAGAGAGCAAGAGTGTCATCCCAGCCAACCTCAGAGACACAGAAACATTTCCTCACCAGCTGGGAGTTCTGGGAACCCCAACTAATACTGCCCTTCCTTCTGAAAGTTCTTCACCGCACCCATATTAAAATAATTCTGGTTAGGCTTCAAAACACAGGTATACTATCTGATTTAGAGATGGAAACACCTGAGGCTCAGATAGGTGAAGAGATTTAGCAAAGGCCCAGAGCTAATAAATACAGGGCTTGGGAATCTGACCTGTTGTTTTCCCGGTCAAGTAAACTTTTCTGTCTAACACATGGCTCCTCATTAATAACCTAGTACTGCTACTTCAGTGCCACAAGACACCGCAATTCACCCAGATCTGATTAGCAGGTCTGGATGGTGCCCCCTCCCCATCTGGGACTGGCTGCCATGCTCTTCCTGGCACCTCCAGGAACTTCATATGATCCTTTGAGCCTAAATGTTCTTCACTCAGCTGTGCAGTGTGTTTCAGGGCAGAAGAGGTGTTCAGAGAACATGTGGTTTAAATGTGGCCACACCGCCCCAGGCCTGTGTGCTTAAAGGCAAGCCATGCCACTCTTCTGGATCCAGTCTACAAGGGATAGGAAAGCCACATGGGCTGCGGCAACCAATGGCCAATTGTTGGTGTCTCCACAATCACAGTAAGGTATGCCACAAAGGAAGCAAGTCAGTGAGGGCCTTTGTGGTCCAGACCCTGGTCAATGCTAAGGTGATAGGATAGAAGAACCAGAGGGAAGTAAATGTTGTGCTAGTCCTGCGACAAAATCCTGTCAAAATTCAGCATATACGGGAATAGAAGCTGATGTATTTGAGATAAGCCCAAACAAGTAGCAGCCAGGCATGGTAGCAGCCAGGACAGAGTTAAGCTCAGGTGTGCTATGGCTGGGTTTGGTTTTACAATCTCCAACAGGCTGTGTGGGTACTGATTTACCATGTAATTCTCTCAACTATCTTGTCCTCCCTCATCTGTAAAAAAATCTGAAGGCATATAAGGGTCTACTTTCTTTTTGCCAATTTTTTTAATCAAGTTTATTAATTTAATTTTTTGGTTGGTTGTGAGGCTTGAACTTGGGCCCTGGGTGCTGTCCCTCAGCTCTTCAGCTCAAGGCTAGCGCTCTACCACTTGAGCCACAGCGCCACTTCTGGTTTTCTGAGTGGTTTATTGGAGATAAGAGTCTCATAGACTTTCCTGCCCCAGCTACCTTTGAACTGTGATCCTCAGATCTCAGCCTCCTGAGTAGCTAGGATTACAGTGTGAGCCACTGGCACCCAGCACTTTTTTTTTTTTTAAATCAAGGTTTATTACCTTAGGGAAATACTAGAAGAAGACATCTTGGGCTTGGAGTAGAAATAAAAATCTATCTGGAAGCTGACTGTCAGTGGCTCATGCCTATAATCTTAGCTACTGAGGAGGCTGAGATGTGAGAATCGAGGTTTGAAGCCAGCTTAGGCAGATAAATATTTAACAATCTTTTGTGTGTGCGTGCTGTTATTGGGACATTAAAGCTCTAAGTTTAAGCCCAATGAGTACACACACATACATAAAATAACTGGAAATAAGTTTTCAAGCCTTCTTATTGTCAGTCTTTCCATACTCCTGCATAATGCCTCAACATATACTCAAGGTCTGCCTCAGCTCTGCATCTGATCTAAGAATTTAATACAACTCAAGGAAACTCTGCAGACTCTTTTTTATAACAGCTGCTTACAGATGGGAAACATTCTGGAACACACATTGTCAGGCCAGCCTATAACCTTGAGCATTTCCCTGGCTGCAGTAACTTGTCATTGGTGAGTTTTTCTGGAGGAGACAAATGGATTCACTTAATTGGGGCCAACTTCACTTTGAACCCCACTGAGGGAGCAATAGGGTGTGGACATGGCCCAGAGGGGTAACTCTAAAAAGGCTCACTGCTTCAAACAGGGAGTGTGCATTGTCCAGGCAAGCAGCAAAATCCCTGTAAATTCCTGAGCTAGGCAGGCCAGTGGACTTGCCCAGTGGACTCCAGCCTGACTGGGTCTGGGCTGGCTGGAAAAGGCAACATCCACTGAACCATTTGCTGATATGCAGCTGCAATTGGTCCTTCTGGAGATGGAAGGCTAGAACAGGTCACTGAACAACCAGCTAAGTTAAAGTGGCTGGGTTCTATGGAATCTGGAGCCACATTGGGCTCTGATTTCCAGTCTAGGCTGGTATCAAGACAGCATACTACAGAGAACTGCCAACTTACTTCAGAGGTGAAGGCAGCTCTTTTTTTTTTTTTTTTTATGAGATTCGGGGGCTGGCTGGTGCTTTCAAGTGGACAAAAGCTAAGAAGAAACAACCCATGTGGTATACTACAATCACATGGATTCCAGAACTCGAACATGGGCCTAGGAGACCCACCAGCCTACAACCTGATGGTGTTCTTTCTTCATGGACATAGAGGTGAGGGCGGAAAGGGTACCTATCCATTTACCTTGATGAATAGGGAAATCTTGAAATGACATCAATTTTTTCTAATGAAAAAATAAACATAGCATAATATTCTCTCTCAATGTACATAGATACATCTGTCTTATGTACATATCTACATATCTACAATGTATATGAAATATACGAGATATATGAGATTGTACATAGAGATATAAACTCCTGGAAAAAAAACCATGCCACTGTCATGTATTTATATTAGGCAGGGAAAAATGTTTGGTATAACTACTCAAAATCAAAACTGCATGAAGTATATGATTAACCCATCAGTGTGGACTGGACACAGCTCAGACCTAGGTAGAAATGACAAACCCATTTGTCCCATTACCACTGACCTGGGGCCACTGAGTGTGGCTGTGTCTCTTACTGCCTGCGCTGTCTCAGAAGCGAAGTCCAGGGCACCTGCCACTGGCTTGGTCACAGTGCCAACCAGTCCTTTCCCGAGGCCAGATATGAAGCCGCTGACACCCCCTTCTGTTTTCACGCCTTCCACTGTTGAGGTTATAACACTCGTCAGTCCACCAATGATACCTAGTGAAAAAGACAAGGCTACTGTAACCTGTGCAAGGGCATAGTACGAAGTCACCATCAAACCCTTCACCTGGAACGATGTCTTTAGGAGTAGCCTGTTAATGTCTGTGCTAACCAGGTCAGAGGACTTGCCCATCAAATCCAGAGTCAGATACACATGTTATACATCAGAAGTAAGTGTTCTGGGGATAAAAGCAAAAGCATAAAAAAGGCTGGGATGCAAACCAGGACCATTTTTTTTTAAAATTCTGAGGGCAGATAACCTATAGCGAGGATGCAAAGAGTGAATTAATTTAACAGGAGATGAGAAAATAGGGTCCTCTGAAATTGGACTTCTATGAAATATAAGGCTAAATATATGTTTTCAGTTTTCCAAGAACACTACAATCAGCCAATGTTACCCAATGTCTGAAAAGGAGTAACATACTGCATGCCTTGGCAAGAGCAGGAATCATCAACTACGGTAAATAATGAAGCCTTTAAGAAGGCACCCCTAAAAGCTGCCAGAGCTAACTAGAACCCTCAGGGGGTCAGTTCAAAAGACCAACCAGAGACATTACAAATATTCTGAAAGTTGACAGCAATGGCTGAAGTCACAGTACTGCTGGGAAGAGGCAGGCCCTGTCAAGGGAGCATTTGCAGGACTTGGGCCAGGGACACTCACAGGATGTTTACCCTCTGACAGGAGGGGTGTTAGGAAGCTCTCTGGACTCTTCAGCTCTAGTGAGACAAATTGGTAAAGGAAACTCCTTGGGTGAGAATGTACAAACAATTCACAGTGGGGTTTTTTTCCTTTGGGGTCCATTTGCTTCAATGAGGCAATAGCCTTTCCCCAACAATTTGAAGAAGGTCCTTGACAGAACAGTTACAAAACAGGAATTCAGACCAGGACCTGAGAGACAGATGGCAACAAGCCCAGGTCAAACAAAACTCAATGTACACAAAGGAGACTAAATGGATTCTGGTTCTTCTTTTCATTTAAAGGACTTTTCTTCCTAAAGGAAGAATCTCACTGTAGGCTACTGCCTTCATATAACTCAGGGATCAATGGATTCTCTTTGGATGAGGTGAGGCCACAGGTTCTGAGTCCCAGAGTGGCCTAACTGGCTCCTGGAGAGGCTGTGCACATCATCTGAATGATCCTTGGTTGGTGATGATATTATACCTTGAACAAATCAGCCAGGTTAGCACATGGCTGTGTTCATCTAAGAAGTGAGGCCAGTCATGCTCACTATCCAGCTGGATAGATGATAGCAATTAGATAGGGAACAGCACTTTTATATTTATTAAAACAGTCTCTAAGTCACTGTACTGTCATTATAGTAATAAAAGCATGATTAAGGGGGGCAGGGGTTGGAGCTCAGGGGTAGAGCATTTGCCTAGTATGTACAGAGTCCTGGGTTTGATAGCTCTAGCACTGGAAAAAATATGCATATGCACAAGTATCATATACACATATTAAATCAGCCAAATTTTATGTATAGCTGATGTTTCCTTAGAAACTGATCCCTATACAGTTGAGCAGCCTGAGGAAGAACAAAGACATCCGAATAGAAACCTCCCACGGGGAAAGCTGAAGAACAAATACTCTGTTATAAACACTGCATCCTAAGCCCAAATAGAGATATGACTTTTAATTGTCAATATTCTTTCTTCCTTCAAAAACAGAGTAATCACAACCGATCAGTCTTGATAGGACACTGATAGTTGCAGATGATTTTCAGGGACCTGGTAGAAACAGTTCAACTTACTAACCATTACTAGCATGACCTAGATGCTCATGTTTGAGGTGCCATGTGAGGTACTCAAATATAAAGGTGAATTTGAAATGACTTTTCTGCCCTCAGAATGCTCACATTCTATCAAAGAAAGCACAACTAGACATACTCAACCAGACTTTCATGTGTGTTCTGTCATTCAGGCTAACTGGGATAGTGAAGCTGGGAAATATTAACTGAGTTGGGACTCACAGGCTAACAGGACTTTGACAGGCAAGGAAGTGAAGCAAGGGGAGGGTAGGAGGGCAGAAGGACCAGAGCATGTCTGTGTGCGCATATGTGTGCATATGGCTCGGTGTGGTTGAACCGCCGTGTGGTTGATGGATTCTTGGAAAAATCAGCTGGGTTTGTATTTCGAAGGACCTTGAATGCCACTCTTAAAAGTTGTTGAAAACAATGAGCAACAAGGGACAGATGAATTAGAATTTAAACAAATTCAGAAATGACACATTACCTATGTCTTTTAGACACATGGTGACATATCCTTACAAAAGACACACAAACATCAGGTCTGCAAAAAGCAGAGTCTTGAAGCAGCAATTCCAGATTCTAGGAGGGGTTTGGTGTGATGAAACCTAGTGTTGCCTTGGGAACAGAAGCCAGGGAGTAGGAAAGGACTGCAATGCAAGTATCATCCCCCAAAGGAACAGGCTGCCACATTCCCACAGCGAGGAAGATCATGACTTGGAAGGCTATCAGCACACCAACATACACAAGTCAAGATTTCTCCAGGTGGGCTTGACAGAGTGTTTGCCTAGCATGCACAAGGCTCTAGGTTCAATTCCTCAGTACCACATAAACAACAATAACATAAAACATTTTAAAATAAAAATACAAGATTTCTCCAGCCACCAGCTGTTTTCTCCTTGCATTGGATGAGTGCAAAGGTATTCATGAGGACAGTGTCATAAGAGCCTTTTTCCTTGGCTCAGGGCAGGTGACTTACCATGAGCCAGGCCATGGATGCCAGCTACAAGGTGCTCCCCACTCGTTGCTGCGTGGTATCTGATGTATTCCCGCTCTGACTGATGACGGTTGTCCATAGTCTTCCCCAAGCCATCTGACAATGTCCCTGCAAACTGTAATGAATTGAAAACAAAAGACTCTTAAAAGTCGGGCGCCAGTGGCTCACGCCTGTAATCCTAGCTGCTCGAAGGCTGAGATCTGAGGATCACGGTTCAAAGCCTGCCTGGGCAGGCAACTCCGTGAGACTCTTATGTCCAATACACCACCAGAAAACCAGAAGTGGTGCTGTGGCACAAGTGGTAGAGTGCTCGCCTTGAGCTAAAGAGTGCAGGGACAGTGCCCAAGCCCAGAGTTCAAGCCCCACGACCAAAAAAAAAAAGCTACCTTTTAAAAAAAAAATATTTTAAATAAACACCTTCCCTTGCTCCTAGCTAGGACTCAGTAAATATCAACTATAAAGCAAGATTAATTGCTGAATTACCCTGTCAGACCCAGAAGAGTGGCTCTCAAACATTAGACAGATACAACTTGTGGGTGACTAGCTAGGAGAAGCAAGATTGGCAAAGCAACTGTTAAGACTTCTTCAAGGTGTTCACTGACAATCTCCAGTCCAAGAATATAAATCCAAAATGTTCTAAAATTTGAAACTTTTTGAATACTGACATGACACCACGATGGAAAAGTCCATTCCTGATGTGAGGAGTTGGCAGCAGTCAGCATGCAGGTGCCTTTGGAGAACTACACAAAATTACCTTCAGGCTATGTGTATAAGAAATATAAGTGCAGGGCTGGGAAGGTGGCTCAGTGGTAGAGCGCTTGCCTTGCATGCATGAGACCCTGGGTTCAATTCCTCAGTACCACATAAGCAAAAAGAAAAAAGCCAGAAGTGGCGCTGTGGCTCAAGAGGCAGAGCACTAGTCTTGAGCTGAAGAGCTGAGGGACAGTGCCCAGGCCCAGAGTTCAGGCCCCACAACCGGACCCCAAAAAAAAGAAGAAGAAAAAAAAAGAAATACAAGTGCAGGGTGCTGGTGGCTTACACCTATAATCCTAGCTACTCAGGAGGCTGAGATCTGAGGATCACAGTTCAAAGTCAGTCCAGGCAGAAAAGTCCATGAGACTCTTATCTCCAATAAGCCACTTAGAAAAGTGGAAGTGGCGCTGTGGCTTAACTGGTAGAGTGCTAGCCTTGAGCTGAAGAACTGAGGGACAGCACCCAGGCCCAGAGTTCAAGCCCCACAACTGACCAAAAAAAAAAAAGTAAAGAAAAGAAATTTCATGTTTAATCTTGGGTTCCATCTCCAGGATATTTCAGTATACACAGACAAATATTCTCAAAGCCAAAACCTCTGAAAGCTAAAAGTCTTTGGTTGTTAAACATTTTAGAATAAGTTTACCTAACCTGTAGTACTCCTAACTTACTGAAAAACTGAAAGTATAACAAACAGCACTGGGGGAGAAGAAGGGAGTTTTGGGATTCTTTGGTGGTAAAGATACAGGCAACATGTCAGATTATTGCTTTAGAGTTTGCTATCAAAGTTGGTGGCTGAGGTTATAGATCAGTGTTTACCTAGCTCATAGGAGGACCTGGGTTCTATCCTCACCACTGGAGGGAAGGAAAAAAAAAAACCCACCTGTCTGAAGTACTGCCTTCTTTCACTCAGTCAACAATTACCAAGTGTCTACTAGGTGCCCAGCACCATTTGTCAAAAAGAAAGCAGGAAGTAGATGGAAAGTTGAACAGGTTAGCTCCTCTTTCAGAGGAGCAGGTGGTTTGTACCCATGAATTCAAATACAAACCCATTGTGCCCCATAAATCAGAGGGTTTGATTTATCCTGATATACTTTAACCAGAGAAGCTGTCTCATTCATCAAAGCTGGATAAAAGGGACATAAAACTCTGTTTTGTCACAAGACAATTTGAAAAGGTTTAAAGTGACAGTTAATAAACCACAGGGTACTTATCCTCATCATTCAGGCATAAAAAGAGAAGGATATCAAATATATAATTAACCTTCTCAGGAAGGATCTACCAAAACAAGTGGTTTAAGTGCCAATGACCCAGGAGTAACCTTTTAGAAACCTCACAGGAATGCTATTTAGATATAAAGCTCAATGGAAAGACTAGAGGCAAACAGCCTGCCTGGAGGGCCCAGAACACTGGGTGGCCAGCCATCTGGGAGCTCATTTCACCCTGCTTTTGCAGAGGTGAGGGTGCATGACAGATCAGATCTGCCCTGGAAACAATCAATTCTGAAGCTTCATGATCCTATTGACAGGTAAGTTCTAGACACAGAAGGGCGAGAGGAAGAAACAACAAAGCTCTGAATAGCAGGTGGGGGGATGAGGGGCGAAGGCGGAGGCTTTCCCAAATGCTTTTACTCTCTAGAGCCCTGAGTGCAGCCCTTTTGGAAATCTAACCCCTATCATGTTTCCCTTTGCCTTACCTTTTCCATCACTCTCAGTTTAATTAGAGAATTATGATTAGTGAAAATTAATTTTACAAATTCCTTTTGGACAAGAGGTACCATGGGATGTTGCAAGGCTTTAGTCTGAGACACTATCTGAGAGCCACCAGAGTACAGAAGACCACGAGTTCCGGCATCTGACTGTACTGTACTCCAGTCCTCCTGGACCTCTGGAGGATCTGTGATGAGGCTGCAAGCAGGGCACCCTGCCTCTGTGCCTCCCTCCACACTGGCATGTAGCTCAAGGATCAGCAACACTGCCTCACAGTCTGAGAGCCACTTTGCACTTACTACTTAGTATCTACTCAGGAGGCCAAGGATCTCCTGCACACTCATGTACCCTCACTCTATACTCCAAGTTACTTTGTGAACAAAGCATGGGGGCAGGTATGCAGCTCTTTTGGACAATTATTATTGCTCAGCTGCTATTCCAAAGAAAGCTGCTAAAGAAAGCCTTTGGAAGGTTTACAATCATGATCAGTTGTACTGGGATTTAACATTCAGAATCCATAGTACCAGCCATAAGGTTAGGATGTTAGACTTGATCTCCAAAATCCTTTCCAGTTCTGACAGTGGACAGTTTGTGATCAATGACCCAAAGCAGAATGACTCTATGAAGCCCCTACCATGAGCCCAGCACAGATTTGGGTACCACTAAGGACACAATCAAATACAGAGCCTTGGATCCTGTTCTCAATAAACTAGCACTCTCATTGCAAGAATACTGATTAACATATGAAATAGCCAGCACCAAGAATCCAGAATGCAACTTCAAACACGCAGGAATACAGAAGGGAAATGTGGTCTTTATTTTGGAAAACATCAAAAAGTCCCTCCTGTGTTCTGGAATGATGTAGGTTGCCAGTGCTCTTCACGCTGGGCCTGCCCCCTCCCACCACCTCAAAGATGGCCAGATTGCAATCAAGCCCATCAATGCCATGCCTGTCCTCACCTCAAGAGGCCCATGGGCTCTCAGGCTACCTCCAGGGTCTTGTCTGGTGTTTCTGATTCCTCTCAAGCTCTAACTTTACTTGGGAAGAGATGTGTCCTGGGAAGAAAAGGCCCCTTTAACCTATTTCTGGCACTTGACACAGAAAAAGTTAAAAATTCTATAATACTCCCCCCCCTAAGAGAATATGGAAAAATAATCTAGGCAGAGTGCCCAATGTGACTCCTTTTCCTTAGATGTCCATCAATTGAAACTAGTTTAATATCCAAGGATTATCGGAGAGGCTATGCTAAAAGCTCACTGCTAACCAGGTCTGCTCCAGCACCTACCAACCACTGGTTCCTGGTGTTCTGTACAAAGGCCACCTACTGGTCCAAGAATAGATGAGGTAACCTCAGAGACCATTCTTCCCTCTAAATGCTAGGTTCTTCCATAGGCTTCTCAGGTTCCTGAAATTTTATTTTTTATTTTTTGTCAGTTATGGGTCTTGAACTCTGGGCCTGGGCGCTGTCCATCAGTTCTTCAGCTCAAGGCTAGTGCTCTACCACTTTTAGCCATAACGCCACTTCCAGTTTTCTAGTGGTTAACTGGAGATAAGAGTCTAACGGAGGTTCCTGCCTGGGCTGGCTTTGAACTGTAATCCTCAGATCCCAGCCTCCTGAGTAGCTAGGATTATAGGCATGAGCCCATGGCACCCGGCTAGATTTTTTTTTTCTTTAAAGAGACATTATCTTGGTAATTAGCCTAGGCTAATCATTCTTTTGCCATGGACTCCTGAGCAGGTGGGATTGCAGGTGTGCATCACTGAACTGGGCTAAGAACCTCACTTTTACATGGAAAGTTGCCTACACCTAGCTCAAAATACTGTTCTCACTTCTCTGTGCAAAGTATAAAAACTACTTGTGCAAGCCAGCCAGACTAGCTCCTTGTCACTTGTGAGTAAAAAGTAAAGGATATAGAATTAGGCAATTATTATGCAAGTCTTTGCCTTAGAAATGCAGTTTTGTGAATGAAAATTTGGGGAGATGTTGAAATCTGTGGCCCAACTAAACTCCACCAGGTCTTACTGGGGAAGACATTTTACAGGAATTAAACCAAAGCCAGACAGCTGACAGCAACAGTGTCAAAGTAGGGCCTTGGCACAGCCCACTGGGTTCTGAGCACAGAAACACATGGGGTACTTGTATGGCCATCTTTAATTCTCTCATTCTCCACCTCACAGATGGGCAAGGTAAATCACACCCAGGCTTAATTCTTCTCCCCCAAAGACCGCATGAGCACATGTAGGCTCCAGAGGGTTCCAAGGTCCCACCTTGTAGGTGCTCCATGGCCTTGCTTCATGAAGGCTGAGCAGCATTATTTCATCCATATCTGGAACCATGAAGATGATCAAGAGAGAACAGAGACACCCACAAAACTACAATGTCACATGGGCAGTGATTTCAATCATTCAGGACATTCTCATTCTACACCCCAAGTTAACTTGTGAATAAAGCCTGGAGGCAAATACTCAGCTCATTTGGACAAGGGAGATGTGAATCCTATAGCCACTAGCAAATAGGCTAAAAATCACCAGGACCTGAGGCACGTATGATTCAGCTACATAGCTGGCAGTGATGCAGCATCCATCGAGTGTGGGAACTCTGCTCCCCTCCCCCCCCAGGGCCATAGGGCCAGGCTAATGAATGGCATGTCGAGT